CCGTGGCCTTTGTTTCCTACAAGTGATGCCTTGTTTCCTCCGTGATCCCCTTTTTTTCTACCAGTGTTTCCTTGTTTCTACCATGATCCTTTTTTCCCCAACCAGTGATGCCTTGTTTCCCCCAGTGATGCCTTGTTTTAAAAGGATCCTTTTTTTCCTACCGGATCCTTTGTTTCCTCCCGTGATGCCTTGTTTCCTCCCATGATCCCCTTGTTTCCCTAAAAGTGATGTTGTTTTATCGCGTCCCTTTGTTTCCTACCAGTGAGCCTTGTTTCCTACTTTAATGCCTTGTTTTCCCTACCATGAACCTGTTTCCTGCAGTGATGCCTTTTTCCCCTACCAGCGATGCCTTTGTTTTCTCCCAGTGATCCTTGTTTATTACCAGTGATCCCTTTTGGTTCCTAAAGTGATGCCTTTTTTCCTCCCCAGCGTTGCTTTGTTTTCTACCAGGGGGGTTGCCTTTTTTCCTAACAGGATCCCTTGTTTTCTCACCACATCCCCCTGTTTCCCAACGATGCCCTGTTTCTTACCGCAATGGCTTTTTTTCTCCCAGTGATCCTTGTTTCTTACCATGACCCTTGTTTTTTTCCAGCAATGCCTTGTTTCTTACCAAGTGCCTTGTTATTGGCCCGGGGGCCGGGTGGAAAAGTTTACCGCTTCACCCCGGGAGGCCCGGTTCGTTTCCCCGGCGGGTGAACCCATTTCGACACGTTTCCTTACACCTGTTTTCCTTTTAAACCCTGCGAAAATAGGCACCGGGGTGTTAGTCGCTGGTGGGGTCCATCCTGGGGGACAAATTAAAAAACCCAATGGAAATAAGTTAGACAGCCCTCGTGAGCATGACTTTCTTGGGTTATCTTGGGGTGGCTAACCTCCGGGGTTTAAAAATCCGAACGAAAATCTTATCTTATTTACCAGCAAGGGTTGTTTCATACAGGATTTTTGTTTCCCTTTCCAGTGATGCCTTGTTTCTTAAAAGTGTGCTTTTTTTTTTACCCTTGATGCCCTTTTTTCCTTCCAGGATGCATTGTTTTCACCCTTGTGTCTTGTTTCCACCGTGGGCCTTGTTTTTCAAACCCTTATGCTTGTTTCTTACCAGCAATGCCTTTTTTTTTACCAGCAATGGTTGTTTCAACCAGTGATCCTGTTTCATACCTTTTTGCTTGTTTCTCATATGATACCCTTTTTTCTCACCATGATGCCTTGTTTTTACCAGCGATTCCTTGTTTTTTAAACAACCTCCGGGTTAAGATCCAAAAAAATTTTTTTCTTACCCTACAAGTATGAAGTCTTCTCCCGAGCGGAAATTCCTGGGGTTTTCCTGAATAAACCCCTTTTATTCACCCTAAAATTTTGGATCCCCTGTCATCAACCCTTGGTTTTCAGATTTTAGCAACAAGGGTTTTTTTTAATGAGTTATAAAATTTTACAAACAAATTCAGTGGTAAAAGTGTATTTTAATTTTTAACAATATTTTTGATGTAAAGAAAATTTGATTCACAAGAATCAGTGTTTGAAAAACTGATACAGTGTTAAGGTAAGGATACCCCCTAGTGTTCCAGATAAGGGGTACCGTATGTAGGTGGCCAGGGAGGGAATTCCGCCTAGTGTTCAGGTAAAAATTTTTTGCCTAGTGTTTTCCAGGTAAGGGGTACCACCAGTGTTCCAGAGGTAAGCCAAATGTTTTAGGTAACGCCAAGGTTCCAAAAGGTAAGATGACCAAAACCAGGGTAAAATTTTCCAGCCATGATAAGCCCCGTGTTCCGAAAAAAATAACCATGTTCCACCCGTGGTAACCAGTGTTCCCGCCCCGTGATTAACCAGTGTTCCCCCGGAGCAATTTAGATGGTACCTAGTTCCAGCCCGTGATGTAAACCCAGTTTTCCCCCAGTGATTACCTAGTTTCCGCCCGGATGTAACCTAGTTTCCCGCCGTGATGTAACCGTTTCCAGCCCGTGGGTAACCCAGTGTTCCAGCCGTGAGTAAACCCAGTGTCCCGCCAGTGAGTAACTTAGTGTTCCCGCCAGGATGTAAACCTGTTTCCCGCCAAATGATGAACTAGTTTCCAGCCGTGATGTACCGTGTTCCAGCAGGTTAAAATATTCCCGCCATGATGTAACAGTGTTCCAGCCAGGATGTAACCTAGTGTTCCAGCCATGATGTAATAGTTTCCATCCTGATGTAACCTATTTCCAGCCCCGTGGAATGTTTGGTAAACCCAGTGTTCCCGCCAGGATGTAAAACCCGTGTTCCAGCCAGTGATGAACCCAGTGGCCAGCAGTGTTAACCAAATGTTCCAGCCGTGTGTAACCCGTGTTCCAGCCAGTTTTTTAAAAGTTTCACCCTTTCTAGTGTTCCGTTAGGGTAACCCCAGTGTTCCAGCCGTGATGAACCTAGTGTTCCAGCCGTTTAAAACCCCAATAAGTGTTCCAGCCCGTGAGTAACCTAGTCTCCGCCCGGATGTAACTAGTGTTCCAGCCCGTGTGAACCAGTGTTCCCGCCATGATGTAACCCAGTGTTCCAGCCGTGAAAGTAACCTGTGTTCCAGCCCGTGATTAATCTAGTGTTAGCCGTGATGTAATCTATGTTTCCAGCCGTGAGTAACAGGTTCAGCCAGTGATGTAACCAAATGTTCCCCAGTGATGTAACCGTGTTCGCCCCGTGATGAACCTAGTGTTCCAGCCCCGTGATGTAACCCTTTTTCCAGCCATAAGTAAAACCCGGTTCCCGCCCGATGTACCTGTGTTTCCGCCCGGATGTAATTAGTGTTCCAGCCAGTATGTAACCCAGTTTCCGCCGTGATGTAATGTGTTCCAGCCCTGATTAAACCCAGTGTTCCAGCCACGAGTAATCTAGTGTTCAGTCAGTGATGTTAACCCAGTGTTTCCCCCCAGTGATGTAATCTAGTGTTCCAGCCAGTGATGTAACCTAGTGTTAATAGAACCAGGGTTTTGAGGGTGTAACCCGTGTTCCAGCCAGTGATGTAAACCCGGGCCCCCTAAACCTTTTTCCCCTTAACCTATTCCCCGCCTGGAAACCGAGGGATGTAATCCCCAAAAATTAAAATTTGTAAAAAATTTTTTTGGTTTGTTACAGTTTTCATTCACCTAGAGTCAAAATTTCTTGTAAAAAGCATCAGGGGTTTAAAAACTGCAGGTAATTTTAAAGTGAGAGCTATAAAACAGTATAGGACAATATTGACACTAAATATTGATGCGATTTTGGTCACGCAAGTTTTTGTTTAAATCTTTATTATGCCCCCCCCTACCCCCCTGGGGCAGTAGTCAAAAGATTCAGAGGTACATAATGGGTCCCGGGACTGGACCCAAAGTTTGGGTAGCTAAACTTACAAAGGTTTTGAACTCCGGTAGATCTGGTCACATCATGACAATTACAAAGGAATGAAAACAGCCTCACTCCTATTCATGGTTTTCAGTCTGAACAAATTTCAAATATAAGTAAGTAAGTAATTTTTCAGGATACACAATACAGTTACATGAAAATTTTCATCCCTAGCAGCATTGTGAGGAACTGGTAAAACCCAAGGTTCCTAACATATGTGCTTGTATGTAAATTTTATGTAAAAAATGGGGGGTTTTTTTGTATACCTGAAATTAAATTACTTACTTATTACTTTGTAATTTTTTCATGACTGTAACCTGTATGGGGGTGAGGCTGATTTTATTACCTTTTTAAATTGTCATGATGAACCCCTGTACTCACACCCGGTCACAATTTTAATGAGTTATAAATGCAAATATTAAGTGGTCACTGCAAGTGATGCTACCCATGAAACGGGGGTGGGGGCTTTATGCTTGGAAGGGCCTTGATTCAAGGGAAAAAAATAATTTTCCTCTTTTTTCGGACCTGATTGTTCCCCTTCCCCCCGGTCTTTGACCCATGTTGTGATTATTTTTAATTACGTAAAATAATCTCTCCGATCTGAAAGGACGAGTCAAAGACAAATTAAAATCCCTCAAAAAAAAAAAAAAAAAGGGGGCCCGGGGGTTTTATACTCATTCCCCAGGGGGTGTTTACGCTTCCCATGAATAATAATTCACAGCTTTTGGCAGATTTAATCGAGCTTTAAAACAAAATACTAATAAAAAAAAAATTTATTTGGGGTTTTTTTTATATTATCAGATTACTCCCAAACATTGACAGCAGAAAAAATTTGAAAAAAAAATAATGAAATTTGTAAGTTTTAGCTAAAGCTCCCCCCAGCCTGATGGGTGTAAAATCTTGAATAAGGAATTTGGGGTTTTTCTTCTCTTCCTTGGGTCAACCCCGATTTCATCCAATCCCCCCAAATGTTGAATGATCCTATACTTTTATTACTTCGCCTAGAGCTGTTATCCCACCCCGCTATTTCAATGCCGCTCTAAACAGAATACACCGGGATGCCCCCCGTCACTAACACCCCGGTACCTACTTTCTCTAGGGGAACTTTTGGGGAGCAGGTGTAAGGAAACGGATAACGTTTGTAACCCTGCCCCGGGGGTCGATCCCCGGGGTTTTGTGGCTGGGACGTACCAAGTGACCCATGAGCACCCCAACCGAATATGTCGTTGAACTTTTTAGGAACCCCAAAGAAACAAATTCCCCCGTGGACAAATGTTTGAAATTCTCGCCAAAAAAGTTATGATGTGATTTGGCTGGGGGGTCACGTGACGAATATGAAAGTTTTAGCCCCTCCGGGCCTTCTGGGGGGCATTTAATTGTGGGGAAGGAATTATTATTGCTTATTTCCCAAAAATTAATTTTTCACAAAGAATATTTATTTTTTGGGGTATTGGATTGCTTAATGTATTTTAAAAATAAAAAATGGTAATTCAAACCCGGCTGTAAATTAAAAACCAGTCAAAATTGGACAAAAAAGTGTTTAACAATATCAAAGGTTTAAATTTCAAGCTTTTTTTATTAATAATAATACTAATAAAATTTTTTTTTTTTTTTTTTTAGTGCTGTATCCCCCGGGTTAAAAGTTTACAAACGTCAAAATGGCGTCGTCACCTCGGAAGTGATCACATCGTTTTTGGGAAGTCTCAGGAACAGCCGATCTCGGGAAAGGTCAGGAAAAGTGGGAGGAACAACTTTTCACCACAAAAAAAAATTTTGCGGGGTTAATTCCTTCCTGTGTCGGCTGGTGCAAGAAGACCCCGAGCTCAACACAGACATGGTCAGCACCTTCACTGTTACAATTACTTGCTTATATTGTAGTAAATTTCACATTAGGGCCAAGTTTTGAGCATCGCTGTCGTTAATTCAAAAGGTTTAAGTTATTATCCCGATTTATATGTTGAAAATGAGTTAGTTACACGAGCATTCTTCCCTGCCCATAATATTAAGCAGACTGAGCTTCGTAACCAGTACATTCATCTCTATTTATATACATGATTATTAATACTTAATATATTGTATTTATGTACACAAACACCATTATTGTCTACAAACATACTGTCATGAAATATAGCCAAGTTACAGGTAGTAGTAAGAAAAAACACCTACAATGACTTGTTTTTTTAAGTATCCTTGCTTAATTCGAGTCACTCCTATGTGCCCTAGAATTAAGCAAGTTTTTTTTTTTTAAATACAATATAGGTTAGCTAAATTAAGCTGAATCTGAAATCTATATAAATAAAGTTTGAATTATAATGAACATTTTAGTTATGTGTTATTTCCTAAAATAACTCATGATTAAAGTATATCTTATACTACTATACTTTATCAAATTTAGCTCTGTTTTACAGTTCTTATTGGTTTATCAATATGCAGGAGTTACAATGTATGTAGCAACTGGCTATTGTCATGGTATGGAAAATGATGAAAAAAGAGTATATGAGGATTATTAACCTCAAGGGTTAGTAAGCCAGGATAACTTCCCCAGAAAAGCCAACCAGTGTGGCATATCCTTTGGGTTCCATTGATCATCTTTCAGTCACTTAGTTTCCTACTTCATCCTAAGTGAACAGAGGGAAGACTTATAAGAAAATATGCGCATTGTGTCCACTTGTCCCAGGCCCTTCAGTTCTGAGCCAGAGGTGCTACCATTTGAGCCATGAGCTACCTGGAGGAACTTTTAACCCGTAAACGGTCCAAATATATATATACGTTCTCTCCCGTAGTGCCCCAACTTTTTTGAGAAAAAAAAATAATTTTTTTTTAATAGGAAAAAAGAGCATATGGTACCCAGGCATCCCTAATTATTTTAATATGCCACACAGTGAGTGCTCACACCCATTCTCTCATGTCTAGGCAACTCAGGCTTATCGTGGCAATGTTGAATGTATGACAAAAAAAAACGTATATATACGTTTGGGGCACTAGCGGTAAAAACGTATATATATGTTTGGACCATTTACGGGTTAATAAAAAGTTATGAAAAACCACATGTACTCAAACCTCCTCAGAAGAGGAAATGTGTAATTACCTATTTGTTTTTTTACCTTTTTGTAGCTACAGGAGCAGTGCTATGCTTGTGGTGTCCCATCTTCATTAATGTTCATGCAATTTTTTTAGTTTCCGGTTGTTACTATCTCAAGTTTATTTCATCCATCCATCACTCAATATGTAGTTTCCCAGCTTCCCTACAGCACCATTAATTTATATACTTAGATTTAATATTTATATTTATGTTAATTTGATTTATATCTGTGGCCTTTTGTTATCCCTGTTGAAGATGCAAAAAAATCTATTTTTCATATTTATCACTTTATATGTTATCATATCTCCTATCAGCCAGTGTGAACAATATAAAATTCCAGAATGAACTGTAAAGTATTTACAGAGGAATAAGATTTAAGAATGTTTTACACTGACAGTCAAACTGAAATGAATGTAACTGATGTACCATAACTAGGAGGAAGTAAGAAATTATTGATAGACAACAATGAAAGGAAAGCTTTGGGATTAGGTAGTGTGTCACTGTGAAATTCAAAGAAATGTTTGGAGGAACTTAATAACATTTGCCTCCCTTATACTTTTTCACTTCCATCTCCTGTTCAGTCTTTCTATGCCTTAGCTTTTTCTTGCTCTCTTCACCTTGTTCTCTTTTTGTTGTTCACTTTTAACTTTCTTCATTGGGACATCCAAACTCTTCCAGCAAGCTTTGCAACTTCTCTTTAAAACCTGCCCAAAGCATTGTGTTACCAACAGAGCAAATGTGACAAAGCCCTCTTCATACCAGATTCATTAACTTTTATTCCTGCACCTCTCCCAACACTAAGATTCATGTCTTTTACAAAGCCATCGATAATTACTGTACCTCAAATAACAATAGTGACATCATACATCTCTTTCAAAGGCCCACTTTTACTGGAAAATGTTTCCCTCTACTCTCAGAAAATCCCTTTGCAGCCTTTAATAACCTATTGCTTATTCCATGCATTTGAAACTCCTGCCACATTTCTCTGCTATGCACACTAATCCTATGCCTTTTCTCAATCCATAAATGCAATATACATCTTGTTTTTACCCTTATCTAAGTAATGTTCACTTATGTACTGTACATTAATGCACTCAGGGCACTGTATGACTCGTGGATTTATCACTTCTTTGTAGACATTATTGTGCTTTAATGCAAGCACTCACTCCACACATCCCTTCCCTTTGTAAACTTTTGTTTTTCTGCAGTGTTTCCTATTAATTTTCCTGCTAGATCTACCATACACTTACCTAGTTACTGAACAGCTTTTTTTTTTTGTTTTGAACATACAGGCTATCTCCCACTGAGGTAGGGTGGTTCAGAAAAGAAGAAACACTTTCACTGTCACTCAGTCATGCTAACATCACAGTTTAGATGCCCCTCCAAACTGCAGTATCCCCACCCCCCTCCTTCAGAGTGCTGGCACTGTACCTTTCATCTTCACTCAAGTCCACCTAACTGGTTTCTCTAAATCCCTACATAAATATTATCCTGCTTACATGTCAGCAGCACATTAAGTATATAAGTACTTATTTGGCATAAATACAGAGTACAGTTAATACTGTTCTTTTAGGCATCTTTTGTAGGTGTAGCATAAATATTTTGAATTTTCTAGGTATAACAGTGGTAATTTGCCTTTTCTAGGTAATAGTTATTTTCAGAGTAGTTTTAGATGTCAACTTGTTGGATTACCTTCCAACAAGGTGATGTAGTCCAGAAAGGAAACACATTCACCATTATCAATTAAATAGCTGGCTTGTCAAAAGTGGGCAGGACTCACAATTCAAATGACCAACCCAACTGCAACATCCTCGCCCCTCCTTCCTATTTATGTAGGAATTTTTTGGATAATGTATAGTGTACATGCAAATTATAGAAATTACTTTTATAATTATAGTTTTTGTGAATTTTCCTAATCAGCTCTGTTTCTTTGCAGGATGAAACTGGTGCCTACTTAATTGACAGAGATCCTACATATTTTGGTCCTGTGCTTAATTACCTCCGACATGGAAAATTAGTAGTGAATAAAGATTTAGCAGAAGAAGGTATATTGTGTAATGTTCAAGTTACTTTGTTGATTTTTAAAGGTTTGCTTTAAACTGTAATATACTCAAGCACCACAATAACAGCCATCTAATCTCTAATCTCTTCCTACTACTTACCTTGTAGCCAGAGAGCTACAGGGTAAATATATGGGTAAGTATCAGTTTATTTAATATAGGTGAAACGTTTTCATATTCCTTCGTTGTTTAACTACTTCATAGCTTACAAAAAAGGTAAATTCAATTTAGAAATTAGTCCACCAAAGAATAGTGTTGTCAGTTTATTAAACCTTCTGTAAAAACTATACAAGTTAAACTGAAAAAAAATCATTTGAGTTGAAGGAATATCTCTGCTGATGTGTAATTCATTAGGAGATGAAGTGGACCAAATTGAGGTTGAAGTGAAATGTGAATAGGACAAGTTTCAATAATTATAATGTAGTAAAAAATATAAATTATTTATATAATTAGAATTAGTATGCAAGGGGCTTAGACATACAGCAGGCATGTGTGAGCGTGTTAGATAGGAGTGAATGGAGACGAATGTTTTTTTTTGGACCTGACGAGCTGTTGGAGTGCGAGCAGGGTAATATTTTGTGAAGGGATTCAGGGAAACCGGTTAGCTGGACTTAAGTCCTGGCCTGCACTTTAAAGGAGGGGTTTGGGATATTGGCTGTTTGGAGTGGCGTCTAAACTATCGTATCTGAGCACCTCTGCAAAGACAGTAATTATGCATGAATGATAGTGAAAGTGTTTGTTTTTGGGTCACCCTGCCTCATTGGGAGATGGCCGACATGTTACAAAAAAAATTGGGATTGGACTTTGATCTATTAGGAAAACTGTGTGTATCTGAAATTGAACTCTTTTTGCTTTTAGGTGTAACCCAAATGCTTTACTAATGAACTACAACTATCAAGGATAGGATAAATGTATTACGATTGAGTATGGGACAAGGATGCACCTCCTGAAGCTAAATAAACAAAGAACTGAATGTCTGTCATGTGGTTATAAAAAAAAATTCAATTTTAGTCTTAACTTAAGAAGTTTCTCAGCTTCTTTAAATTCTTCTTGATCATTATGTATAGTAGTTGGAATAAAATGAAACACTTTAAAGTTAAATGGAAACTATGTCATTTCAATTGATATACAAGTTTTTTCAAATCAAGAAAAGTAAATTAGAGGATGACAGAAAAATGAGCAAAATGCTGCATTCAGAGGAGGGTACCATTGTACTTTAGGAAGATTTTGATAAACTAATGTTGTGGTTTGAAAAGTGGCATATACAAATAAGTGCAAAGTCTTAATCCTTGAGAATGAAAATAAGTTAAATAATCCTCATACTTATAAACTTGGTGATGCAGAGCTTGTTCATACAGAATGTGAAAAGCCAAGTTTTTAAGCATATACATACAATGTTACCCCGAGTTTCGGCCATAATTCATTCCAGAAGGCTGTTCGAGTGCTGTTACCAAACGAATTTGTTTTCATAGATTAGTCCATTTCAGACCCCCAAAATACACTTACAAAGGCACTTACAATAATACACTTACATAATTGTTCGATTTGGGAGCTGTACGAAACTCGGGGTACCACTGTACAATAAGGCCAACAGATTACTTGGATTCATATCAAGTAGCATAAATAATAGGACGAGGGGGATAAACTCCTGAGTTTATATAGCAGAGAGAAGAGTGAGATGTAATTATGACTGGTCCAATACAGGTGACATAACAGAGCAGGTCACTAAAGTAGAAGGCCCTGCTTAATGTGTCAGTAAGCCTATGAGATAACAGATGTATCTTTGGTTTAGACACACTTCCTTGGCTTTATGAAATGATGTTAGATGTGTTGATTATAGCAGATTCTGAACATTTTTGTTTATATTTATCCAGTTCTTTGATGATTTGCAAAAATGTATTGGGGTAAGGTGATGGTTGGTATTATAAAAGTGATTGACTACTGCATGATGAACACAAGACTTAAATGGGGGGTATAGGCAGGGTGTCATTTGTGTTTTTATTTTTATAGTATTGTGATTTTAAAAATATTATGTTGTATTTTCTCAGGTATCTTAGAAGAAGCAGAATTCTACAACATTACAGAGTTAATTAGGTTAGTGAAAGAACGCATTAGCCAAAGAGATAACCGACCACCAAAAGCAGGGAAGAAACACATGTATAGAGTACTTCAGTGTCATGAGAATGAGCTAACTCAGCTTGTGTCAACAATGTCTGATGGGTGGAAGTTTGAACAGGTAAGTTAAATTGAGAAGACTTGCTAATTTATAGAATTCTGAAGCAAAACAGAAATTGTATTTACCATATTTATTTGAGTTTGAGGGGAAGGGGGTAAGGGGAAAATGAACTCCAGATATTGGTCCTGTCTCTTAAGTTTTGATCGATTGTTGCTCTGTTGTGTATATTTTTAAACTCCTCTATAGAGTATGCTCCCACTGCTTTGTTGCTTAGTTCATTCCATATTTTTTTTTTTTTTTTTTTTTTTTTTTTTTACTATGACTTGCTTTATCAGTGATCAATGATTCATCAGTCACTACTAAGTCACCAGTGACTATAATGTCCCCAGTAACCACAGTCTCCACTGATTGCTGGAGACACAGTGGTTCATACACTTATTACATCTCCCTTGCCTGAGTTTATAGGTTTGAACCTAGGGCATTACGGTTTCTGTTTTTTTACCAATTGTGTTGAAGGAATGCTTCCTTATATCTCTGTGACTCATTTGAATGAATAATTTCTACCATATTACCCAGTTCATGTAGTATCCCTAGTGAAGAGTCTATCCTGTTTACTCTATGCCCCACAGTGTTTTGTATGTCAAAGTCGTATTCCTTCTTGTTCTTTGCTCCTCCGGTGGCATGAGACCTGGTTCTCACATTATTTCTTCATAGCTCTTTTCTGTTAATTCAGGCACCAATCTCATTGCATTCATTTGCACTTTCAAGTTGCTTTCTCTCTCTTTTACTAGGAGAGGATTCCACATTGGCACTGCATGATCAAGACTGAACTGCACTTATGACATAGAGTGTTTTGAAAGGGTTTTCGTTTAGGTTCCTGAGTGCCATTCTTACATTTTCAAGCCTAGTTTGTGTTGTTGTTATTCTGTTTTCATGTACCTCAGAAGATAGGTCTAGGGTAATTGCTAGTGCATGATATTTTTTTAGTTTCGGTGAACTTTTCCTTTCCCTTGCTTCTCTTTTACCTGATGGTACTCTAAGTATCCTTGGAAACAGTTCATTGAAGCCTGGAGACTTAGTTTTGCTTTAATGTTTGATAACCATGTCCCTAGTGACTGTGATATTACTTAATTTGTTTTCTTCAAGCCCTCTATAATTATTAATTGCTGGGATAGCAGTGTGGAACAACTGAAACCTCTGAATGTGATATTTGACAGGCATATCCCTACTCTTCAAATTAAACCACTTCTCATTTATTGCAGCATCACCACTTGTTTATCTTGTTTATAGTGTTGAGTCTATTTGTATTGTAAAATTGGGAGACTGCTTTCTTCTTTTAGGGCTGACTTACTCAAGAAATGAAAGAGTAAGGATTTGAAAAGAAAAAGGGTCAGGGCTATACTGTACTGTCTGCATTAATTTTTCTCTTTTTATTTCTTACTTTTCTTTTATATTTAGTTTTCTCTTTCCTTTTCCCATTTTTTTTATTTTCTCTGATTTTGATTATTCTTATAATATCAGTAAATGAAGCCGAATGATAATACAGTAGTTATTACCATGCTGTACTATGTATGATGATTAGCCAGGATTTCACAAAAATCTGTAATATTTGGACCCTGTGCTTTATTTTAATTTTGATGTGAAATGAGTATGTAATCTGTGTCTAATAGAGGACTCAAAAATTCTTTCTCTTCTCCAGTTGATCAATATTGGATCTCAGTACAGTTATGGAAGTGAAGACCACACAGAATTTTTGTGTGTTGTCTCACGAGAGTATTCATCCTCCTCCGGCTCCAATCAGTGCTCAACTGACCGACCTGACCACCTCGATCTACACAGCTCCAAGGACTGTAGGAAACTGAACTTTATGTACAACTTGCCAGCATCTCCCTAGAGATCTCTGCTTTTCGATTCCCCCCATGCTCTCGCTGCCTATGCTGTCAGGGATGTGGCTTGCTGTGCTATTATTGCTACTGCTGAACAGTGCTAAATGGTGAACATGGCTTATCAGTTGTGTAATGCCTTTTGCTGTGGACATTAGTATAGAATACAGTGGATTTTTTTATTTGGTGTGGATACATTAATGTAGGTCACAGTACTGTACACTATTGACTTTGAGTAAAAGATAGATGTGAAAGTTATTAGAATATATTCCAGGTTGTGTTCACTCATATAGTACTGCTTAACTGCCTGCCAGTATGCCTGACAACATTACTTGTCACAGAGTCGACACGCACAAAAATGTCACTTTAGGATTGCTGCGTACCCAGTCTGTTATGTCCAAGACAGAGTTAAGTGTTAAATCTGTGGTGGTACATAGTTCACACTTTGCCTTGGCATCACTCTGGGACCTGAGTGGTATGCATCTTAAGTGGCAATTGTTTTCATACTCCTGCTTGCCTTACCTGTTGAATATGTCGGGAGGGATGTGGTTTGATTACACATTTTGTATGTTTGAATGGGGTAGTTCTGAGTATTTTACTATATCCTCCTTCATGTGTAAGGAGACTATTGCCTCTTGTTAATAGTCAGCGGGATACTGTTAGAGGATTTATGACATGACCAGCAGTGTTTAGCCAAAGGTAGCTTTTTTACAATAGTTTCTTTAAGTGTGATTCAAATGTAATACTAAAGAAACTCTTGAATGAATATTGTTTATGCTTTTTCCCAGTTGTTGAAAACACAAGAGTGCATATTGGATAAAAAAAAATATTTTAACAGATTTCAAGGTAGAATTCTTCAAGAGAGAACTAGACAAGCTGCTGCAATACAGGTAACATCCGACTTATGACCAAGCTTGGTTCCGACCAACCGGTCGTAAGTCAAAATGGGCGTAAGTCGAACCTTACTACTGAATATTAACATAACACTTTTGTAATGATTTTATTTTATTGTTTTATTTTGGTATTTCATTCTTTACTTTACTTTTTATGCTGTTAGTACTGTATTTTATACTATAAGGTTTAGGATAAACACTGTGTACAGCACATGTTTTATTTCCCAGAAATATGGCATAAAAAACATGGTCGTAAGTCGAGTGGTCGTATGTCGAGCAGGTCGTAAGTCGAGTGGGTGTATGTCGAGCAGGTCGTAAGTCGGATGGTAGGTGTAGATGCTTGATCAATCGGGTTGTGATGGCTGTGGGGGCCTGCAGTTCTCGGGTAATATTAGCTTGGCTGATCTGGTAATCGCCAGAGAAGCCTGGCCTCAGGCTAGGCTACATTAGTAGTAAAGTCTTCACAAAACTGGTCACAGGTATGACACCATGAATGTAAGCACTATTCCTGTAACTACAAATGTGGAATTACATATTACATACACCATCTATTGACAAAGACATGCGAGAATAGACACATGACATATGGGAGTTTGTAAAGGATAGGAAGAGTGCAGAAGTGATAGTGTTAAGTAAAAGGACACAAGTGCAACTAATGTGACATTTTATTATGGCAACATTTCACTCTCCAGGAGCTTTGTCAACTCATAATGGCTTGATAAAGTTCCTGGAGAGCGAAACGTTGTCACAATAAAATATCACATTAGTTGCACTTGTGTCCTTTTACTTAACATACTGTTGGTAATTCTACCAACTTTAATACAGAAGTGATAGCAAAAGCTTTGGACTTTAAGTTGAGGAAAATAAAAGATAAAACAAATTAAATATGGACATGTTAAATATTGAGAAAAAATATAAAAATGGCCAGTCAGAAGAATCTATCTCCTTAACAGAGTAAACCCCAAAGACTCAGCAATAACAAACAATACTAAACACCACCACCTCACAGATTCAACCTTTAAAATAATCACATAGAAACAGCATTCTTTACAACCCCCACCTTCCCTAACACCAGACCACTCCACATTAACACCCCACAATAACCTACCCTACTAATTTCTTCCACATCAATCTTCTTTCACTAACACCTCTCCCTCTTTCCTGCATTGTTCACACCCATAAATGTTGCCAACCCTTCCTTAAACTTCTAATCATAATATAGTATAAGCTGTCCTGCACCACTTCTCACATTCAACAATTTTCTCACTACCCCAACAAAGACATGAAGAAAATTGTTTAACTTAGTAATGGGTAATGTTATAAGGCAGCATGCCAAGGAACCAATGAGATTAAGAGGAAATTATAAACTAGCAACATCAGACCTAGTATTCTCCTCCAGTAATTTAGGTATAGAGCAGATTTAGAATGGAGAGCCCATAGGAGCAAATGATCGCTTGTTGTTATTCAACTACCTGGTAGAAATGATAAAAAAGAGACCATAGAGCCCAAAAGACATGTATAGGAAAGATAATTAAGCATGAGTTTGATGTTTTCTTACACAGTAGGATGCTGAATTTTGAGGAAAAATGAGCCACAAAATGATGGAATTTTTACAAAATGTAAAGAGTCAGTAGATAAACATACGTATACCCATTTGGATGGCAATATATTAGACACACTGGAAAACCCATAATTTAACTGTCAAAGCAAAGCAGAAAAAGTTGGGAACAGAGGAGCATGGAAAAATTTGCAGAACAAATCCAGTGTCAGATAACATGGAAATGAGCAGCAAAACTTGAAATTCTTGTTTTCAAATGAAAAAAGCAGGTAAACAATATGAAGTGGACATATGAATATAGCTTTACCCATGTAGCTAAAAATAGGTGCAATACATCATATATGGGTAATCTTACACACATTAATGCTGTACTCTTTAATAAATATACAGTGCACTATCATGCAGTGCAGGAAGGAGTTAAATTCCTGAAAATTGATGTGATCCAAAAATGCCTTACATAAAGTGAAGAACATATAGGAAGCATAGGGTTATGTTCCAGCACATCCAAATTTACCACCCAAGTGTTTTTGCTGTTGTACCAAGTTAAAATGAGTACAGTATAACTTAGCTTATATTCTGGTAGTATGTACTTACTGAATTTTAATATTGAGAAGAGGGTTGATAGGGACCTACTGGGTTGATCTGGATGACTCTGGTTCTTCTATTGCTGTGAATGCAGAATTGTCATTAGTAAATGATTGTACTGGAGTGCTCAAGTACATATTTTGTAATGCATGTGGTCTGTTTTACCTGGCAGTTCTTTATAGAGCTCACATCACGGAATCATCATGCTTTGAAGACAGTTGTTCTTTTCAAAACTTTCATACTGTCCAGCACTAAGCATGCATTGTTTGAAGGCTTTCCTTTTTTTCCCCTCACACTGTTTTATAGTTATGGGGTTTTGTGCCTTATTTTCTGAGCACTATCTAAGGGTCCCTTTGTATTTTTTCCTCATTCCACATATTCAGGAATTGTTATGTCTAATTGTAGTAACAAACTATTTGGTATTCTTTTGAGCAGGTGATAATCTGTACTACATAATACACATACTCTTATTTTTTCTCATTTCTAATTATACAAATGGTTATGTCAGAACTTGTGGGCATTTTCCATCACATATCCACCACCTCTAAGCATGATTAACACTTATTTTCTTCAACACTGTCATTGATTCATGCTTGTTCTTCCTCTTATCATGTCCAGCATCAATAGTATTCCTCTTGGATGTCGTGGTTAATATCTAGAGACCACATAAAATGAGAAAAGTATCCAGAAAAGCTTGATAAACACCGAGTGAGTGAGGCACAAAACCCTTTCAGGATGCAACTGTTGGTGGCTTAGGCTGTCTGTGGAAAGGAGGGAAGGAGTCATGTAACATGGCATATTGTATCAGTATTTCATGAGCTGGCTTGTTTTTAACTGTTGACATATGATATCAAGTTTTTTTGGTTTCAGCTTTTGAACCATGTTGCAAGAAAATCAAACAAGGTGAAGCTGCATTGTATAAGGGTTTCTTGTATATTTTGAATAGCTATAATTTTATACTTTCTGTAAAGTGAAATTTATTCAATACTTGTAGAGCTTGTAAGAGCAATTAACATAAAAATAAGAAAAAATTAAACATCATCATCTCTGAGAGTTTTACTTTATATTCTTAAGCCAGTTTCTTTCCATATGCTCTTTAGGTTAGGTTAATGTTAATTATCTAAATTTAACCAATTTATAACATTCGTTAGCATTAATAAATGCAATGAAACATAAAGATGAGACTAAGTTTTGATGCACCAACAGAGAGCAGGGAACCACCGAGAAAACTGAGGTAGCACACCACTAAAATCCTGACTTACGTTTTAGTGTCACAGTCACTTGATCAGCAGTCTTGAATCATAGTAATAAACCGACATTTGCTTAGAAGGATGAGTTGTCATCTGCAGTTTATGTTAAATTTATGAACACTGATTTAATGTTGAATACTAATCAATCTGCAGTTGGACTGCATCAATGGCTAACAGGTCTATCACTCTCTCTATTCACCTTGATAATATCTTCCTTCTCCTACCAATGTACTGTAACGTGAACCTGAGATTTCTACTTCCAGTACTGGGTAGGGCTTCCCTTTGCTTCCAGACAGTTTGAATTCTTTGTAATGTGGATACAGCAAAGTGCTGGAAACATTCCTTAAAGATCCTGGTCCATATTGACATGATAGCAAATTTGTCGGATGCACATTAATGCTATGAATCTCCCGTTCCACCAAATCCCAAAGGTTTGCGCCAAATTTTGGCCCTACCTTCTGCATGTTGCAGCAGGATTCACGGTTCATCATACTAGGTGACGTTTTCCAATCTTCAACTGTCTAGTTTTGATGAGCCTGGGCCCACTGTAGCCTCAGTTTCCTGTTCTTAGCTGAGAGGAGTGGTACCCAATGTAGTCTTTTACTGCTGTAACCCATCCACTTCAAGGTTTGATGTGTGTGTGTTTAGAAATGTGAATGGGAAAATGCTAAATCATTTTAA